GCTTGCCCCGCCGCGCCCCCGCTTCACGCTGCCGCAACAAATTGCCCCGTCGTGCCACCGTAATGGTTGGCCCCACCGCACCGCCATGTCGCGTCGCTGCGACGCGTCGCCGCATTGCACATCTGCAACGCGTCGTCACGACGCACCGCCACACCTCCACCATCTCTTTCAGACCCCTATTTATAGGCTCAAAAAGAGTCTTGGCCAATAAATGCACATTAATATAAAAATCTAAAAAGAAGTGCAAGCATTAAATGCTCATAAGTAATAATAAATAAAAAACTTTTCATATTAAAAAAAAATCTTTTCAGTTTTTATTTCCTTCTCTTTTGTCCTTTCAAATTCCTTAATCTCTTCAAATTCATTTATAAAATATTATTTATTTTGTTTTAGGCGTGATTCAAACCCCCTCTCTCTCACATAAAGCAAAAGAGACTAACCAACTAAACTGAGTTCAACTTTCTATTTATATAAAGATAAAAATTATTATTATACTAATTAAGTAAAATATACATATTCTTATACATAAATACTTCAGATATTAATATTTTCTTAATATTTTCGAACAATAAAAAGGGTCTTGCCCGAAAATAGGGGGCAACTGATACACCACCAACAAAATTTCATCATCCAACACGAATCTCGATGCATGACACGAATCTCGAGATAATATTTTAAACAAAAAACATTCAAATCTTAATAAAAAATCATCCAAAACTCCGATTTCAGCAAACTTATAGTCATATTGACTGGTTCGATGAGAAGAACCTAATAATATGAAAACTCGCCCAATCCCAAGTCAAATCAAGCCCAAATCAAGTCATTAAACCACAGTTATAAGATTTATGAATACATTTGAAAAATCAAACGACTGTCAAATATGACAAGTTTAATTAAATTCAAATCGAGCGGCTCGACAAGACGAATCCAACGAGCTTAAGATCACTCAATTCTAACATCATTAATGCACTCAAATGTCCAGTAAATGTTGTATGATCAATGAAAGCTCTTCGGACCGTCCGATCAAAATGGTTCATATTCCTGCATTAATTTCATTCAAAACACTATAAATAGAGCCCCATCCCTCTCATAAAGGTGAGGAAGTCTAGAGAGAGCCTGAGGTCTTGAGGAGAAGCTGCAGCTCTGCACCACCGCTGACCACCGTCGACCACAACAGAACTCCGTCGATCGTCGACGATCACCGCCGACCTCAGACGACCACCGCCTACCGTCGTCGACCACCACCGACCGTTGTCGACCACCACCGACCGTTGTCAACATCCACTTATCGTCATCAATCACCACAAACCAAACGTCGTCAGTCGACATTGTAATCTGAGAAATATAGTTATCATTTCCCGTCCGTGGGACAAGGGATTTCTGTAATCATCAATCAATAGTGGATTTCTGCAACTGGGCCAGACCCTGTGATTTTTCCCTAACAGGTTTTCCACATAAAAACTTCTGGAGTCATCACTGTTTTTTTCTATTTCATCTGTGTGTCACTGTGTGCTGAACTTTTGTGATGATAATTTGTTACTCTACCGCCACGAATTTTCTAGCAGGCATCAAATCTTATATAATTAAATTTAATTCTGTTAAAAGTAATTGAAAAATGGTTTTACTTAATTTTAGTTAAAAGAAAAGAGCAGTCAATCTTTCAAAACTTGTGTCGCTGAGTTTGGGGATTTTATTAAAGGAGATTGAATTAAAATTTTGTTTTCTTGTTGTCCTTTTATTAACTGATATTAACGTTTTCATATCTCTCATAAATTAATAAATGTACGTATATTTTCTTGGGGATGAATGAATGACGAGAATCTTTATCCCACAGCGTTGTTAGAAACCCATTTCATGTTATTTATTTATTTTTTTATTTTACTTCATTTAGATTTTCTGCTTATTTACCCAATAACTTTTCAGTTTTATAAAAATTTGTTATTCAAAAAATATTTTAGTACTATATAATTAATGAGAAGCATTGAATTTGGATGTCAGAAGCATTGTACTCCTATTTAAATAAAAATAAAAAAATATTTATTTCGGCAAGTAAAAATGAAGGTATTGATTTTATATGTCAGCATTCCACCGACCAGTGATATGTGAATGATGGATAAAGATGAAAAGAGTTGCATGCAGAAAGGCAAAAACTGATTTATTTTTCCAATGACTAAATTTACACTTTTTTATATATGTATATACTTTTTTAATAATGAAATACACTCCTAATATATTCATTGATCAAAACAAATAAATACAACAAAAGTTACATAAGGTTATATGCATTAAAAGAAAAATATACAGAAGAACTTATGTAAATAAACAACTAAACCTAAATATGTGCATTTAGGCTATATTCCAATTAGCAAAACCATATAAAATCAACATAAAGTGATAAATCTAGATTGATTTCAGCAAAAAATTGGCCAGTTGTAAAGACAATATGAGAATTAGTGGTTGATCTAAATCTCATTCATCAAAATTAACCTCCCAAATCTAAAAAATTGCAAATCCATCCATTAGACATTTTTTACACTTTAAAATGATTTATCACAATTAGTTTAGAACTCTAGCTAAACCTTGCCCTTAAAAGCGGCATAATTGTTTGTCAAAAAACTCTAGCTTACCCCAATATATAATGACAGTCCATTACAAGGATGCACTCATACAAGTATAGATGTGAATGATATGTGCATAAAGCAATGCCTTCAAATTAAAACCCAAACCTCTAAATTTTGTATTCAATTCTCCTCAATATGCAATTCTCCATTTACTTTAGTACCTTTAAAGAAAAATCAAAATCATTGGATTTAATCTAACAAAGTTGTTTTATATACATATCACTCGAACTTGTTTTAGCATATGACACCCTCACAACGAATCCACAAAAAAAAAGTCGGCTTTTATCTGAAGGCATACAAGATCCATAGAAGATGCTTTATGTTATCTTTTATATGCAATTCTTCATTTACTTTTGTTATGTTTTATATACACTTTTCAGGCTCATAAAAGATGCAGAGGTGGAAACTTTTATCACATCATTTGAAACAGTAATCGGCTTAAACACTGCTACTCCATACGTTTCTTTAGCTCTGAAGTCATGTCCAAGAATGTTAGAAGTTTAAAGAATATCATATCTGATCACCTTATTAACCTTGACATGATTGATGCAAAACAAAGACTTGGTAAAGGGAAATTTATTGGCTTTGGCCTCACAACTACTGGTGATCATGCATGTTCACAAAGAAGGAATTCATCTTTTACTTTCGGGCAGCCACAAGTTTGGAGGCCTCAGAGAGGGCTACCCGAACGTGCAGTTTCAGTGCTTAGGGCTTGGCTTTTTGAACATTTCTTGCATCCGTGAGTGATAAAGCTAAACTCTTTTGAACTTATTTTTATGATATTTTCATTATTGACTTCATATTTTCAAAGTTATGATATAGTTATTTTTCTTAATTGGAGTGTATTTACTTTTGGATGAGCTTGCAATATCTTTTTTTTTGTTTTATTACCTATTACACTTTGATAGATGATTTTGTTAAGGTTTGTGACTATTGGTTATTATTTCATGTCCAATAATAGAATGAAAAGAACGACATATTGAGACGTAGAAGATAATAAGATATATCTGGGAGCATTATAATATATAGGACCATAGTCACGAGTCACCGTGTGAATCCGATATGTTGTTGTATTATTGTTGATTTTGTCTTACATTGAACTCACATATACAACCTATATGTATAGAGAATCATAAAATATTATGTTTTTTTTTTCCCTTTAATTTATTGGTTTTTACTTACGAGATGTAAAATAATTGTTTAATCTATATATACAAAATAAACATTTCAAACATGAATAGCTTTATGCATTAAATGAAATATCACAAATCTATGATTTTAAATGCAAATATGCGTTTCTATGGTATTGCTTATGACATCATATATAATTCAAATGAGTCAACCAAGACGAAAAGAATAATAATTTTAAAATACTATAACAATACTCCTAAATTCCATTGTCATTTTCATAAGAATGATTTTAAATGATTAATTAGTTTTATTACATCCTGACTGACCATTATTCTTTGACTATAATTGAATTTATTTTTATCTCCCACTTGACTTGGGATGAGTCTCTCCCTTTTTCAAATTTTGAATTCTTCGGATACTCTAGGTTTAAGTTTTTTTTTTTTTTTTGGCTCAATGAAATCTGTTGTTACTTTAACAAGTCTTTGGATATTTTTATCCAAAATATTAATTAATAAAAATTTGAAATAATTAATTAACTAAGCGTGCTGTTGTCAACTTCTGGTTTGTTTTCTGATTGAACGAATAATATTTATTTTAAACATTGGTGTACGCTTCTCTATCTTGATCATATGCTTGATGCGATTTGTGATTTTATGGGCCATGAGTCCGTTTAACAGTGGTGAACAAAGATTAAAGAATGGCTGGCATTCTTCTTCTTCTTGCTTTTGTCCATATATATGTTTCTTTAACCTGCTCTTCTGCACTTACAAGTTGAATTTGCTAATTTGATCCTTATTCATTGCAGGTATCCTACTGATACAGACAAGCAAATGCTAGCTAAGCAAACAGGTTTGACAAGAAATCAGGTTATAAAACTTTCTTTCAAATTAATTTTAAACAATTTAATGATTATTCAATAGTTCATGTATTACTGAACCTTGATGCCATTTTCTGTAAAACTTGGTAATAATCATTAATAAATGGCCTGACCATCTAAAACCATTTTTGCCCTATTATGAGTAGGCGTATTTATTACTTCAAAGTAAGCGATGAAATTGATGTTTTTTTTTTTTTTCAGGTTTCCAACTGGTTTATAAATGCAAGGGTAAGACTATGGAAACCCATGGTGGAAGAAATACACAACCTTGAAATGCATCAATTACAGAAATCAGTAGCAGAAACAGATCCTCACAACATTCGGAACTCGAACTTGCAAGCTTCGCATCAATCATCATATTCCGCAGCAACAACTTCATCGAGCCTTAATCAACCCCCTGTTCGAGAAAACAATTTCATGCTACGAAACAACTAAAACCGATCTTACCGTTCTTCGAGCATCGAACTTCTTCACATGGAAGAACCCTACAAATTCTTATTCGATGATGCGTTTGCCGTCCATGCTCAGCCGCCCGTGGGGGTTCAAATGGGCGGAAATTCTGTTGTTTCTCTAACTCTCGGCTTATCAGAACCGCTGTCCATGAATGTAACATGGCGATTTGGCTTAGAAGAGTGCAGCAATGCTTATGATTTGCACTATGGGAAGGAAATTGGTGCACATATGCTTCATGACTTTGTTGGATGATTTTGATCTCAAGATCAGTGAGTTCTACTTCATAATTAATGATAGACATTTTCATTACTAGTCTTAAATATTAATTAATTATATATGATGATATATAACTTCATATTTCTGGCCTGCTGCTAAATAAGAGTGACGCCTTCCTGTTAATTACACCGCCCCCCCGCTTGTGCTCTTGATCATCATTTTATACTGAGGCTGTATTTTTCACATCATTTTTGACCTAATAATGGCTTTCATCCCTCAGCTGATAATTTCATTTGAGCTTAATATTTATAATATTAATTTCATGCCAATTTAAGTGTACCAAAATAAGAAAATTCTATAATTTTAATGGTGTGGTCCATGTAATTTCTGCGTTCATATCCCTATAAGTTAGAAATATTTGTCGGGTCATTTTTGAGGTTTTTGAGTTTCTCATTATGCTATATATTTCAGTAAGCACATACTATTATGCTATATAAAATATGAGTGGGAATTATAAAATCCTCTGATGTGACATTTTGTTGGTTGTTGTGTTAAGTTATAACATTTTTAGATTATTTTTTAGGTATTACATTATGAAGCTATGCACGCTTTTAGTCATGTTGGAATGCTTAAAGACTAAAAAATTATAAATATGTGTGTGTGTGTGTGTGGAATTGTTAAATTAATCGTTATGATTACATGAACTGTTACATAGACTAATTGGCTTTCTTGTAAATGACATTCGTGAAGTTTTTTTTTTTTTGTAAGCATTACATGAACCAAAATTTTTAATTGTCTACCATTTGAAATTAGCTCATATCTTATTTCCAATTAAACATACAACAAATGCTCACTATTTGTGAATTTACAGGTATGACCATATGCATAAATTTTGACTAAACCAAGGGAAACAAACCTCATTGAGCCGAGAATTTTGGCATTATAATGGTTGCCGGATCTGTGGAAGATGACCCGGTGTGGTTTGTAATGTTAATATGAGCTCGTCCAGGGCTTTCTATGAAAGCAGGCCTGGAGAGCTTGAGGTGCAGAGAATGTTGGGTGAGCGAGTAAAACCACAACTTCAGACATGGTTGGCCTTGATGACACAGTTTGGGTGCAAAGTAGAGCGACTGTGATGACTCTTATCACTTCTTCGAGATCATATTCAATAGGATCGAGCGATTTATCGATGAGATTGGGTATATTATCCATCTCGTACAGTTTTCAGGTCAATTCAAGAATATGCCGAGGCACGGGCAAAACCTTGGAATCACTGCCCCTCTGTCCGCTTATAATTTCCAGGGCAACGATACCAAAGCTGTATATATCAACTTTCTCACTCAAGTCACCATGAAGAACATACTCGGGTGCTATGTATCCCAATGTATAATAGAATCCCGGTGGAAATTTTATTGAAATAAAAATTTTAGCTGTCCAGAGGATTATGCTCTTATTGGTATGTCCTTGTGGTGTGATACTAATTCGGATTGTGACAATCTGAATGGTAAATGTTTTGAGGCTACTTTGATGGGCTTAACTGTATTATCTTTTGTTATGGCTATTCGACTTGAAAGTTTAAAAACAGGGTTGGTGCTGGCAGTTGGCGAAGTAATGCATTTACGCCTGCTTATCATAACTGCCCCTGGATGGTCCATTTATTTTACACATATTAAAAGTTTCAAATATGTATTGGATATGAAATTTGTCCTCCTTGGGGGTGCTTTTGAATTTGAAACTTGCAGTCTCTGGGAAATTTGCTACAGGGACTCGATTGAACAGCAAGCTGTTTCGATAAGCTGGGGGACGAATTCTGATAGTTTGAGTTTGGGATTTACTCTGTCTACTACGCTTACTTGGTATACGAATGACATGAAATTAGAGTTGCTGATTACTTTCTCTATTTACAATTGGTATACATAAGAATAAGTTTGAGGATCCATGAAATATCCTTAATATAGTTATTTATATAAATGTTTGATTTCCTTATTTTCTCTGGGCACATTGTAATTCTCCGTGGAGGAACCTTAGGTTTTTTATTTTGAGTAATTATATTTTGGGTATAGTTTGAAGTTTGAACTCTTTTTTTTTTTTATATCAATAAAATTTCCTCCGGGATTCTATTATCCCATTTTTTATCGCCATGAAGAGCATACTCCGCTTCTAATTTCCAGGCCACAGTATAGACTCCCCCTCTAATCTCATCTACGGAATACCCTGCGATCCTTGGAGCGGCCGAGCTCAGATCCTGAAGCAACCCTTCCGTCGCAGCGGCGAACCCACCCGTGGAAACTGTCCCCGTGACGCACACAGGAACGTTTCCGGGGAGCGTGCCCTGCTCATAGAACGGCGAGCTCTCGTACCGCAGGTTACAGCCGTCGTAGATGACACGGCCGCCGGTTCCCGATCCACAGGTCCACAGGTCCACAGGTTCGCAATCGGGCCGCAGCCGAGGATAGACAGCTGAGACAATCTCCGCGGGAAAGGTAGCCCCGGCAGAGCGAGGGCGTACACCGGCGAGTCGGAGAGAGCTCCGCCACCATCTGCGGCAGAGATCCGGGATAACAGGTCGGAGATAGTGGCGTTGAGATTGGCGATAAAGAGGGAGGGTTTCGAGGCGTTGTAGTTGCTGCAGCCAAGGTTGAGCAGGTTGGTTTGGGGGTCGGCGCTGATCGGAATCGATATGGCGAGAAGGAAGGCAAAGGGAATCAGAACTGTTTCAGTACTGCATCGGCCACGGCGGAGTTGACGCAACCGACCGCGAAAAGGAAGCCGTAGAAGGAGAGAGTAAGAGAATCGTCGCATGTAAGGGTGTAAACCCTAAACGAACAGAGCTTGAACACGAACGAACAGACCGAGTGAGTGTTCTGTGTTCAGGTGTTTGAAATAAGTTTAGAGTTTAGGCAGACCGACCGAGTGAGCGTTCTGTCTTTAAAATTATTGGTGAAGTTACTGATCGTGTTCGTTTTTTAATGAATACGCCGAACACGAGCTATTCAAGTGAGTGTTCTGTGTTCAGGTGTTTGAAATAAGTTCAGAGTTTAGGCAGACCTACCGAGTGAGTGTTCTGCCTTTAAAATTATTGGTGAAGTTACTGATCGTGTTTATTTTTTAATGAATACGTCGAACACGAGCTATTCGCGAACGACGAACCAGTTTGACATCCTTAATATTAATATATATAAATAATATATTTTATTAATTATATAACTCATATTATATAAATATATAAAATCTATATTAGTATATTACTAATATAGTATATTAATATACTATTAATTTATTATAATTTATAAAATATAAATTTTTAAAATATCATAAATTGATTATATATAAATATTTTAAATTATTTTATATTTCAAATAATAATGATTCAAACACGAATGAACACATTACTGTTCGTGTTTGATTCGTTTAACTAATCGAATGAGAAAATTTTGTTCACGTTCGTCTCATTTATTTATCGAACGAATTAAACACAAATTCATTGATGAATTGATCACGAGCTGTTCACTAACAACAAGATTTTTTGACCGCCCTAGTCGCATGATGACCAACTGAGTTCTCTGATTTGATTAGTGGAGTTTATAAATTTTATAATTAAATTTTTTAAAATTTTATTGCTACTCCTTTTTCTGCAGGGATGATATCATAAATTCATGCATGCTTTTTTTTAATCACTTACATTAAAATATTTGTGTTTGGGATGAATGCACGCTCATCACAATTAATTAAAATAAAAATGTTGTTGGGACCTTTTTTTGTTTCAACTCTCCCTATCTATATCTCTGCCGACTGCATACGTACGTGGAATTAAATTTTATAAATTTATTTTGGTGAGGAATCAATGATGAAAATCTTTATCGCATAGGGTTGCGAGAAACTCATGATTGATCATTTTTTTAATTTAGGCTAATTTTGCTCATCAGAGTAAAGCACGTTTTAAAAGCATTTAAAAAATTTTGAACAATAATAATTGAAAATGAGATTTTTCCTGAAATTATGGAGCATATTATATGAGCTACCTGCTATTTATTTATTTATTTATTTATTTTACTTGAATTATCATTTAGATTTTTTAGTTATTTATCCAATAACTTTTCATTTTATAAAGAAATGCTATTAAAAAAATATTTTAGTATAATATAATTTATGAGGAGCATCGAATTCGAGTGTCAGAAGGGTTGTCCTACTTCCGAGTTCATATTATTTTGAACTGCTATTTTAATAAAAGTAATAATATATTTATTTTGGCCAGTAAAAATGAAAGTTTTCATTTTATTTGTTAGAATTTCACCAACTAGTAGTAGTGTGCGAATGATGGGTAAAGATGAAAAGAATTGCATGCACAAAGGTAAAAACTGATTTATTTTTCCAATAACTAAATTTACTCTTTTTTATACATGTTTATATTTTTTGAATAATTAGATCCACGCTTGATATATTCATTGATCAAAACAAATAAATACCACAAAAGTTACATAAGGTTATACGTATTAAAAGAAAAATATAGAGCAAACCTGCAAATAAACAACTAAATCTGTATCTGTGCATTTAGGTTATTTTCCAAGTAGAAAAATCATATAAAATTAACATAAAGTGATAAATCTAGATTGATTTCAGAAAAAAATAGTCCAGTGGCGCAAACAATATGAGAATTAGTAGTTGATATAAATCCCATCCAATGATCTAAATCCCATCCAACAAAATTAACCTCCCAAATCTAAAAAATTGCAAATCAATCCACTAGACCATTTTTACACTTTGAAATGATCTATCGCAATTAGTTTAGAATTCTAGCTAAATTTTGCCCTTAAAAGTGGCATAATTGTTTGTCAAAGAAATCTAGCTTACCCCAAGATATAATGACAATTCATTACAAGGATGCAATCATACATATGCAGATATGAGTGATATGTGCAATCTTTTATTTTTTTTTTCTAAATATTTTAGAGGCTCATTGTTTTGTTCAAATAGTCATAACTCTTATAGTACTTCTGCCAGTAGATCAACATTTAAGATCAAATAATTCTCCCTACCTCTAGCGTGCAATACAACACCACAGAACATAGTAGAAAACCGAAATACAAATGAAGCTTAAAATAAAACATTACAAAAAAAAACGTAGTATGATTGTATCTGGATCTTCAGGTATAATTTTTTTTAATAAAAAAAATTCTTATGTTATGCTCTCATTCGAACGTAGCTTCGCATCAGTTGGTACAGCTACCCTCCTCATGAATTCATATGTAGTTTGGGGAGATTAACTTTTTTCTTTCTTGCCTGTCTTGCCTTAATCCCATTGTATAAGACTTCTTGGAGGGGATTTATAAAATTATTTTTCTTTCTGTTTTCTTTCAAGAATTAATACTCTACCATGAAGATGGGACAATGTATACTAGCTCACTAAAACTTCAAACTAAGAAAATTTATTTTTTCTCTTCATTAAAAATAAAATTTCTTTCATGCTTATTTGCACTTGAGATTTTGATGGGGATGAAATATGTACATATAATGAAAGTCGATGGTTTTCATGAATTTGACAACGGAGTTTATCGAAACGGGCTAATAGTGGGGTCATGAGTAGGACTGATAGGACCCCGTGCCAATGGAGCAAGTAGTTGTAGTCTTCATTAAGTTCTTAAAAGAATAAAAAAGCTGTAAAAAAAAAAAATTGTCGGTCGATTATCAAGTTACATGTGCAAAATGTAGTTATATTGTAATTGGAAAAAGTTTATAATTTACAATACGTGTTCAGTTACATTTGAGAGAAGAAAGAATAACACGGTTTATTGTACTAATTCCAGCCTTTGACTACCTCAAGATTAGTGGTCGAGCCAACTAAGCTGGGCGCGAATAGGCATGTGCCAAAAATTTATACATGAAAATGTTTAATGTCGGGTTTAGTCTGCACCAAAAATTCATTTTTTTTTCTCATTTATTTAATATACTGGGTGGGCTTGGATATGCCAAATGTCGCTTCCTTAATAACTTGTATTTCTCATGTATTTATATATTTAAGATCTAAATTTTACTTATACATAAAAATGTTATTATAGTAACACTTTTTTGTGATTATAACTTTTTAAGAGTGATTAATATAAAATTTAAAATCTGTGTTAAGACAAAAACATAAAATTGAGAGGCATGCTTGTCAACACCCCAAAAATAAATTAAACTAAAGATGTCATTTACCAAGTAAAGCGTCCTGCCGTTATTGAAAAGAATTAGCATATAGATAAGATCACCATCACCTATTGCTACTTTCTAAAGTTCAACAATTATTAGCATAATAATCATTCAGACAAGCAAATAAAAGGCAAGACTTTTGTGGGGCAAACAAATAACAAGGCGAATGCTGTGTAGGAATATCAGAACACATTTAACAGAGGGCATTTTGCGGGCATTACATTACAAAACCTCAACCACAAGCACCTATAAGATTAAATTTTACATACATACCACTCATTTCTTATGTATTTACGTACTAATCAAAAAGGTAAATTTCACCTTTTAGAAATTAAAATAGTGATATTTTTGGATATGATATTGAAGATTTAGGTGGTATAAATGTTGAAAGTAAAGTTTTGGTGTTAGATATGTAAATACATAGGAATTGGGCGGTATGTACGTAAATGCCCTAAAATTAATAAAATAAAATAAAAAGTGCCCACAGTAACTAAAAATAGCGCTATCCATAGTATAAGTAATATAAGAACTGAAAAATGAATTCGACAGGGTTCTATTGAAAATGAGCTCCAAAAATACTATAACAAAAAATGAGAAATGACTCACAAAGTCACTAGTGAATATTAGTGGCCTAATAGTTAGGACATGAATATTAGTTCTAAAAGTTCATGAATTATAATCATAATTTACCAACTCATCGGACATCATTTCAAAATAAAAAAAAAAAGTCCAATTATAATGGAAAGCTATTAACATGAGCTCCAAAATACATGTTACATGCAATTATCGAATGAAATTCAAACTTCATCCCTTTCGAGTGATATTTTTACACGTTGATCTTACAATCATATAACAATAATGACCCCGACCTCACCCAAAACAGCCAATAAATGAGAAACGCTAACAGATCTTTCAAACTACATAACAGATCTTCAAGTAGTGATTCTCCACTGTTAGCTAAACTTATCACACCATCCAATAAATACTGCTGGGGGCTGAGCAAAGGATGCTTCAATATCCAAAATTTTTGCTTATTTAATAAACTATATTGAGTTGATTGGTCAAAGGGTTCATTTCTTCATTCACTCGGTCCGCACGGAATTGTACTTCTCAGCCAATGTTGGAGAACTCGTTATGTTGTTAATTAGCATCTTAAACTTTAAGCTGCAATCACCTCCACTGTACAAGAAACAAGGTTTAATTAGAAGTAATTTCAGGTACAACACTCATGTTGGCTATCCACAAAATTAAAACTCTCTTATCGTCAACTTTCAAATTCCCAGTAAAATATTGAATTTCATGATAAAAATTTTAACCCATGTAAATGTATTTGACTGAAACAAAGCAAATACACAATAAAAAAAATGAAACAGATATAAAACTAAAAGCAAATAAATTCAAACATGATCGAATCAGGATTGACTTGGCTTCTATCATGCAAAAGCTGAACCCATATAGTTTGAATAAAGCTTCGTTTGGTTCGACTTCTGCTGTGCGGCGCTGTGTGCGACAGCGGCTTCGTCCCGCAGTCGATCCCGCAGTCGACCGCAGTCGACCGTTTGGTTTGAAGCTGTGCGGCAAAACTGTCGCAAAGCTGAGAGAAAGCGGGCCGCGATATTAACCCCGCGGCCCCGCTTTCATCTGAACATTTGTCCCGCTTACCCCTTTTGTTTCTCTTCTGCCCTAACTACTTCCCTCGCGGCTCTCCTTCGTCGTCTTGCTTCGTAGCCCCTCGATCGACAGATCTGAGGTATAACGAGCAGTTTTCTTCTTCTAATCGCAGATATGAGAGAGCTTATGAGTTTTTTCGAATGTGATGTTTTCTCTTCTCATCTCCTTCCTATTTCTGCGATTTTTTGTTTAGCGCATGGAACCTCTTTAGTTCTTTACCGGTTGCTTGACTAGGGTTTTGCCTTTGCTTTTCCTTCTCGTTTGAGCCATTCTTGTTTGGTGGATGATGGCTCAAGAATGGAAGAAGGTTGTGGTTGTGGTGGTTGATTCATGTGTAGTGGTTGTTGTTCATGCTTTTTATTTCCCTTAAGTGCATAGATGACAGTGCATATGAGCTGTCGAATTGATGTGGAGTTGGCTTG